CCACGACAATGCACGTCCACATGTAGCACGTTTGACGCAACACAATATTATGGAGTTAGGTTGGAAAGTTCTCCCCACCCATAATATTCTCTAGATATGGCACCATCAGATTACCATCTTTTTCGTTCGCTGCAACACCATCTTAATGGGAAAATGTATGCAAATGTGGAAGGTGTTAAAGAGGACATCGGCATTTTCATCTAAACAAATGCGACATTAATTTCTTGACGACCTAATAGTATAAAAAGTTAAATATAACAAAATATATGATACATAGAAACTAAATTTATAATTATTTGTAAGGTTCATTGTTCAGCAGGAAGTGTGAGCTCCAAATATTTTTTGGCATGGGTTTGGTTTGTGTTGAATTTCGCGAAAAGCTACGGGAGGGCTATCTGCGCTAGCCGTTCCTAATTTAGCAGTGTAAGACTAGATGGAAGGTAGCTAGTCATCAACACCCACCAACAACTATTGGGCTACTCTTTTACCAACGAATAGTGGGATTGACCGTCACATTATAACGCCCTCACGGCTGAAAGAGCAATTATTTTTAGTGGGACGGGGATTCGAATTCACGACCCTCAGATTGCGAGTCAAACACCCTAACCACTTGGCCATGCCGGGCCTTGGGAATGGTAAGTATAATAAAAGAGAGAGAGCAAAATAAGCTGTTTTATGTAGGACAAAATATTTGCAAGTATTATAATTTAACAACTGGATTATCGAATAATTAGATACCCATTAAGTATCTGATTTCCAAATAATTAATACTAACTGTCATTTCTGGCTTGAACTATTAAGTGAGTTATAAGAGTAAAACGAATACTGTACTACTGACATGAATCTGTGAAGACGAACCTTTGCTATCAAGCTAGCTGTGAAGTAAGTAAATCTAATCCAACAAAACAAACATAGTTGAAAAATCCTAACATTTTTTTTTTTTTAAGTAGCGTAAGTGTGTACAGAAAATGTGTTACCTTCAGTGTTTCTTTGTTTTATTAAGTTGAATATTAATGGCATTGCATGCGTAATGAAAGCATCTAAGGCTTCAAAGCATTCTTAATTCCCTTGTCTTAAATATATTTTTATTATTTTAAATTGTACTTTTCTACAGAGCAGTTCATATTTGAAACAGTTAAATAGTGTTTTAGCATATCTGTGTAACAAATAGTGCTTCCGAAATATCATGTGTCACTTTTTGCTGGTGAAACGCAACCAAAAGGAGTAGAAACATAATTTAAAAACTTCCTTTTATTTTCCGAATTTCAGACAGAAATCCTTAAAAGCTCGCCTCATCTCTTTGTTTTCAATCTCTTAAGCCTAGATAAAAAAGGAAAATTGATGGAGCTATGGTTAAATCTTAAAAAAAAAGCACCTTTATCATAAGACATGGTGTAGGTGTTGACAATGGAACAATAATAGGCTCAGCAAATGAATGTACATTAGCATGCTAACAACAATAAATTAAGAAGTTCCCCCACCCCAGTGGATCAGCGATAGGTTTACGGATTTCCAACGCTAGAAATCTGGGGCTCTATTCCCTACGGTACATAGAGCGCAGATAGTCCATCGCATAGTTTTTTTTCGATACAGAAAAATTAACAGTCGAACAAGTAGCTTCTAATATGTGCATTTTGGATTCTCGCATATATATATATATCTGTTTGTGTGAAAAATATCTTGGCGCAGATTATGTTCACACACACAGCAAAGAGAAGGGTAGTTTCAGGCCATCTAGTTTTCCAGTATTTCTCCACTTCTTGATGATACAGAATATAAATTACGATTCATATTTAATACTTATTCTATGTACAATGAATACTATTCGATGTTTAGCTGGAGAGTGCTCGAAAATAAATTTAGTGAAGAATTGTCTGAAAACAGAAGACGTGCATAAAAAGTTAGTGGAGATTACAGAATACATATTTCATTTACGACGAGTAATTTCATGTATATAGTTTATAAAACTGTCACTTGGTGTCACAACAAATTAAGTGTAACTAAAAACGGGTAATCTTCTTTTTGTCTGATGAATAGTTATCTTAACTAATCAAATATATTTTACATCATGTCTGTGCAAATACATTATTTGAGAGAGAGATAGTTTAAAAGTTTATTTCTTCACCTTGTAATTATCTTTAATTTTGTATTTCTATTTTACTCTAGAGCTCTTTGAAATAGACAGTTAGAACATGCTATACGTCTATATGATTACCTCATTTAACAATACGTTTATTTTCCTTTCGATATGAAAACAAAGGCTTGAGTAGATTAGTTTTCTGGTTTCATTGATTTTGGATAAATATTAGAAATATAATCTGAAGGAAGCGTTATATAATGAGTAATCATATACTTGTACTTAAACATAAAACTTTTATTTACTTAATTCGTTATCGTGCTCTTTTTTTAAACGTGTTAATCAAACGTTTAAAGGAAAAATACCTCGTGATGGATAAAAAAAATTAAATTCTAAATGTAACCCACACATTGTTTGTCAGTCTTAAATCTTCTGATTTGCCCTTTGAGGAACATGGGGTTTCAATAAACATTATTGCATCTTTTGCAATTTGTTTCAACTGTCATCACCGAAAAAAGTTTCCCTTGCAGTAAATATATATATGCATTTTTCCTTTTACATGACTACCCTAGTTTAAATCGTTTTCTCTTACTTTTGTAATATGAGTACTCTCGGAGATTTTATTGTTAAATACGAATTTGTTCTGTTATACCTCCTCGTGTTGTTGTTGTTGTTCTTTTTGTGTGTGCGCGTGTGTGTGTGAAAGCTAGTTAAATTACGCATTGATAAACGTGCTGCGAAGGGACTCCACAACTGTAAAGAGGAAAGTCTATGCTTTAGCCCGTGCTAAACTCCTCTATAATTTAAATAAACATTATTTTGTGAGAAACGATTTAATAACAGAACCTGAAAGCTCTGGTAACAATTAAATATGTGACACACGGCAGCTTTGTTCTTTTTTAGTTTCATCTGGAAGGGAGGAGTTTTGCTGAATAAGCACATTTTTTAATAATCCATAGGTACCGTCGACTACGAACACCGGCCAACAGACTAATTGTCAACCTTGCTGTTAGCGACTTAATGATGTCTTTTCTACATTTCATGGCGAGCTACTCTTCGTTTCGAAAAAGCTGGCAGTTTGGTAAGATAGGTAAGTCAGCTTCTCTCTTCTTGCAGAGCATCACAGTACATCCCATTATCTTGCTTTTCTCGATCCATTTTTTTACACTAATATTTTAGGTTTTCTACTGAATTCCAAGTAAAACATTCGGTGTTTTTTGTATTAGCTTATTATTTCACGCCCCTTGTGATACAACAAGAACTTATTCTATGAAATAAGATCACCTTGTAGTTAACATTTTTATGACTGTTGTGATACATATTGTGTGGGGTATTTTGTTGTGTACTGAAATGTGCAACATGTAGTTATGTGATTGTATTATGTGTGGGATAGCATGGGACTGTACATTGTATACTTTATTGTGTAATAATGCATAGTGTGTGTCATGTGTAGGACTTCATAAAGTTGTAGATTGTGTAGTTTAAGGAGTTTTGTTTTGTTTTATGTTTTGTCAGTCATATAAATTAGAATTCAAAACGAAGCTTATTATGGACTGCGATAGGTTAGGTTGTTTTTATGAGACTAGTTGCATAAAATGTAATTTAATACTACACCTTATGTTTCGCTTTAAAGCAGTTTGACCACATTTCAGTTCAGTATTTCATTTTCTACATAATACAGCATCGTAAACGAAGTACAAAAAACGAGTGTTTTAAAATAAATTAAAATGTTCTTCAACCGTCAATTTTCTTATCGTTTCCACCGTGTCTTACAAGACTCGTTTAAAAGAACCGATTTACGCTGTGTTCCCCTTTACCACGTTTCCACCGTGTCTTACAAGACTCGTTTAAAAGAACCGATTTACGCTGTGTTCCCCTTTACTACGTTTCCACCGTGTCTTACAAGACTCGTTTAAAAGAACCGATTTACGCTGTATTCCTCTTTACCAAGCGAAATAATGTTTGTCTGTTGTTCTAAATGTTACAAGTTTTTTGTTTGATAATTTCTTCTTTGGTAATTTCACCAGTACTCTTATTATTATTATTCTGATTTTATTTATTTTTACTCCTTTCTTATAAAGAACGACATAACAATCAATCGGTCCCTAGCCAAAAGACTAGTTTTTATTGGTTTGAGTTGTCTCGGTTTTACTACTAATGTAATTCATTCTTTTCTAGATACGATATACTTTCAACTCGTTTTTCTTAGCATCTCTCCTGCTGTTTTACCAGATATATTCATTAGTTTGCCTATTTATATGCATCATTCAAAAAAATGTTTGCAGTTACACAAAGGAGGACTGGACAAATCAGTAATGACCAAAAGTCAAAATCAAAGTCAGTATTCAAGTAGTATCTCATTGAAATACACCGAAAAAATTTAATTATTTGACCCCAATATCTAGTCAATGGGATCAACAAAAACAAAATGGTTTACGTTACACTTTTGTTTGGAAAAGTTGCTATTGTGTAAAAAAATTAATAAATAAAATAAAGTGGCATTTGTGACTCCAAAAATGAATAAATAAAATAGAATGACCTTTGTGACTTCAAAGGTAGATGAAGTTACATTATTTTTTTTATTTTTTTTTTGTAGGGTGCGAATTCTATGGGAGTCTCTGTGGGTTATTTGGACTGGTCTCCATTGTCACGCTTTCCGCCATCGCCCTGGAACGTTGCTTGGTTATAGCGATTAAACCCTGGTACTGTGGTTACCCTATTACTAAAAGAAAACTGGGTAGGGTAGTTGCATTCATCTGGTTGTACTGTTTCGTATGTGTGACACCCCCTTTCTTGGGGTGGGGGAGCTACGTACCTGAAGGATTTTTAACAAGTTGCTCATTTGACTATTTAACACGCACCCCTACAAACCGATCATACTTCTTCTTCCTGTTCATTCTTGGATTTATCTTACCTCTTTCCGTAATCGCTACAAGTTATTGTGTAATATGGAAGACAGTGGTCCAACACGAGCGAGAAATGTCACAAGCAAGTATAAGCTCAATAAGTCCAAGATTTATGACTAGAAAAAGAAGTGATTTCAAATCCGCAATAATGATCCTTTGTGTAATTGGATTATTCTTGTTGTCATGGTCCCCGTACGCAGCCATAGCTACAATTGGTCAGTTCTGCAATTCAAGTTACATCACTCCCTGGGTATCTGCCATGCCTGCTCTCTTTGCTAAAATGTCCACTATGTATAATCCTATAATTTACGGGATTTCTCACCGTCGGTTCTGCTCTTGTATTCGCCTTTTATTCATGAAAACTCAAATCCCCCCTCCAAAGAAAAAGATTTACATGAGATTTTCAAAAGGTTTACCAAGGAGAGACAATAGACAGACATTTCTGTCAACGGCCTGTGGCGACTACAGAGTAAGAGGTGACGTAAGTCTACAACCAACAAATAAAGGCAGAAAATGCTACGTTATGATGTCTCTGGGTCGAGAAGGAAAATCCACAAATACTGTGTTTGCCGAACCACAAGCAGAGCATTGTGAAAAACTAACATGCGATCTATGTTTACTGGAAGCCACAGCACACAAATACCAGAGAAATATGTGGGTAAGAAAGTTGTTGAGTGATAGCTCCATCTATAGTCGTTCAAAGGCAAATGTAAATAACGATTTATCTCTTCCAGAGTGTCTTATCAAACAAAAATCTCGTTACGAAGCTTGCTTTTGTTGGTACGATCATAAAAATAGCTCCATTTGCTATAATACCACATGCTCCTGCTCCTGTGAGTTTAGGTTAGAGGCGTCGCCCTCGAGCGCCAAGAAAGAACATTATATAAAGCGACCAAGTGGTGGTAGTTTACCTGCTCGATGTGCAAGTTGCTATTACTGTGACCGGAAGATAATACACTACTACTGAAAGTAATCTTCAGAGACATCAACCTTTAGCGCCAGGAATAAACATTATATCAAGCAACCAGGTGATGGCAGTTTATGTTCTTCAATGTGTGAATTGTTATTACTGCGACCGGAAGATAATGCATTGTTCCAAAAATATTAAACTCACTCTAATTTGTTTTCTATTTTACAAATGGGGAAAATATTTTAATAGTGTATATCCATAATTGTGTAATTAATCCCAAACATCGCAAAGATACAATTTCTTTGATTAATCAGATTAACCTATAAAGCATATTATAACAGGGCTCTAACATAGGGTTAACTGGGATAAAAGGGTTGATTTGGTATTGTTATTGTTGACATTCTTTACAGAATCACACCAAACATGCTCGCCCTTTCAGCCGTGGGGGCGTTATAATGTGACGGTCAATCCCACAATTTGTTGGTAAAATAGTAGCCCAAGAGTTGGCAGTGGGTGGTGATGACTAGCTGCCTTCCCTCTAGTCTTACACTGCTAAATTAGGGACGGCTAGCGCAGATAGCCCTCGTGTAGCTTTGCGCGAAATCCATAACAAACAAACAAACAAATCTTTACAGAAAACAACTATACTAATGATGAATTATCTGAACCATAACCGAGTAATTTTAGTCGTATTTTGTATTAATGGTTTGTGTGTTGTTAAACACAAAGCTACACAACGGGCTATCTTTGCTATGCCCACCACAAGTATCAATCCCGGTTTCTAGCATTATACGCTTTCAGACTTACTCCTGAGTCTCTGGGAGTTTGTATTTATAACAAAGCTACTAAAGCTATCAACCGTCGTTCCTAATTTTAAATTACTTACCAGAGGGAAGGCAGCCAGTCAGAAGCATCCTGCCATCCACCATCTACGGTAAGAGATTGACTGTCAATCTTATAACGCATCCACAGCTTAAACTGAAGGGAGTATTTTGTGGTAACACATATTCGAACAAACCCCAGAGCTCTACTACTGGGCTAACCCGAGTCCCCGAAGAAATTGTACTAACAAAGCTAATGGGTTCTCAAGAGTGTCTAGTCATAAACAGATTTTATCATTATATTTATATTTTGTTGTTAAACAAAAGACTATCTGTGTTGTGCTCACCAATCAGAAATAGAATTTTAGCGTCATAATCCCTCAAACTTACGGCTGAGCCACAGAGAGCTATATATATATATATATATATATATATATTCATTTAAGTAAGTTACAAACAATTTTATACAGAGGTTCATCAAAAGGAAGGATAGCATAAAAACCTTAGATGAAATATATCTTAATTTAATTTTTATGACGATGAAAAAGAAAAATAGTTAAATAAATAAACGAAAAATATAATTGAAAATACAATAAAAACGCAAAACGTTAATTTGTTAACTTGTTTTATTTTCGTCCCTATACAATTAAATTAAATTATATATATATATATATGTGTGTGTGTGTGTGTATTTTTATATAATTTTGTTATATAATCCTTGCATCTTCATACATTATTTAATCTGAAAACAACTTCTTGCATCATCTTGCAGTTTTAATCGTCATTATCCTAATCATGCAGATAAAACCTCTACTTTGAAATAAGATGCATCAAGGCATATAAAATTTTTATAAATCACTTAATTTTATATCAACAAGTGATTGAATACATTCCTCAGAACAAGTGAAACTTTGAGTTTTGCAAAAACTCAATAGTGATTTTTTAGTTTATTTACCGCCTCCATTGATCTATTGGAGATACAGATTAAATCATAAATAAACAAACAAATTTTAAACTACTTAATTCGTATTCCATATTAAGTCATAAATAAACAAATAACAAATTTTAAACTACTTAATTCGCATTCTATATCAAGTCATAAATAAACAACTAACAAATTTTAAACTATTAATTCGTATTCCATATTAAGTCATAAATAAACAACTAACAAATTTTAAACTATTTAATTCGTATTCCATATTAAGCCATAAATAAACAAATAACAAATTTTAAACTACTTAATTTGTATTCCATATTAAGTCATAAATAAACAAATAACAAATTTTAAACTATTCAATTCGTATTCCATTTAAAGGGCCATAAATCAGGTTCGTATTAGGGTAATAGAGTAAGAGCATGGTGAATTGTTGAAGAAATAGAAACCTCTAAAAAAGTTCAATAAGGAAATGAAAGGTTATAGATAAAAAAAGTACTAATAAAATGGATTAAAGGAAGATCTTGGAGGATTTTCAGTTTTTCGTTCACATGATGAAACGTTTGATTATATATATGTGCTATTTTGTACGTATATGGGAATCGACCTCTCTTTACCAAAAATTCTTAAGTAAACATCTTTATAACATATGATTAAATTCACTTATATCTAAAATATCATCAATTTCATTTACGTTTTGTATAAATATGGCGATAAAAAAGATATTTTGTTCTTTTTTTCTAATTGTTAAATCAGAATCATTAGCAAGAAAGAAGGACCAACATTTTCATAATATAACTACAAAATATATTTATAACGTTTAAAAATGGTAATTGAATATTTATACGCATATTAATTTTCACGTAAATTTGAAAACATATCTTAAAATATTAGGCAACTTTCTGGAGTTTTGTACACCTAACTACTTTCTACAAATCGTATTTTGATAATATCACTAATATTTTTATCAAATTTGAAAAAAAAAAGAACCAAAATTAATAATAGTTGGACAGGGATTAGTAATTTACTTAATTTATATAATTATTAACAACTTTTTTGATTTACTTAGTCAATAAAAAATAACCCACCAAGTGTTTATCTCACACATTCCTTATCATATTTTCTTGCAGCCAATTAAAACTAGTTCTTAGATACTTGTTGTTTTATCGCTTACATCTATGTATGTTGAACAAAAGCTTCATTGTTACGCAAGTTATATTGCTTCTAATTATCCTACTATGCTTTTTAAGCCCGTTAAACCTGTAATACGTTTTCAAATAAATCTGTAAAATATTTTAACAGTTTTCATAGTCTTGTCACCAACTTTATGACTAGAATCATTGTCTTACATTTAAAATGTATATATATATATATATATATATATATAATGAACATAACATTTTGACCAGGTAAAAAGTAAGCGATATTTATTAGTTTCTAATAATAATGAATATTGTCTGTGATTTCAAATAAATATTTTATTCAACATGTTTAAAATTTATCTCTGAATACTCTACACTATTTTCATCACAATCAGAAATCAGCGTAAAAATTAACCTTCATAGAATAGTTTTAAAAAATGAGACATATTGAAGAATGAATAAAGAATAGGATAGAATGGGATAAGCAAATGAACTGCTAATAAATAAAAATAATGAATAGAGGGGAGAAAATTGGAGTAAAAGATAGATAGGTGGAATTTTGAATATAAAAAAAGAGATGTATTCATAGATTAGTCCTTGACCAATGGAAAGATGGGTAAGTAAAGCACTGATGTGCAAAAGTGGGTGACTGAATGGGCTCGAGCTCCTACCTTCATACCCTTATGCCCCAAAAGTGTCCTATTTCTCAGTAATAAAGAATTGTCAACAACTACTTAAAGACATGCCTGATTCCACTCTTTGCTCTCTGACCCCCCAGAGCACAGCGGAATGTCTGCGGACTAACAACGCTAGAAACCGGGTTTCGATACCTGAGGTGGGCAAAGCACAGATAGCCCTTTGTGTAGCTTTGTGCTTAACTATAAAAAAACATTTATTTACTAAATTTCTAAATTATTCAATATCATTTCCTCTGTCGCCATCTTATCAGTCAGGTAATATTGTTTTCTTATTTTCTTTACCAATTATCCTGTTAACAAAATTCCATTCGCACTAAGAATCCTGCTGATTTTTGCATTGTAAAAAGTTTTACTAACTCAGTGTGATTAAAACCTATGTTAAATCGACCGTGACAAGCCTGACTGACTGGGAAAATTTTTCTTTTGAGTATGAAATTGAATTTGAAGTAAGCAATATGTAATTTCCTGAATGAAAACAAAAGAAAAGTGAAAAAAAAATCATATTTCTTAGTACAAAGCTACACAATGTAATATATACGTGCTGTGTCCATCGCAGGAGAAATTCCCCCAGATTTTAGTGTTGTAAGCTCGCAATCTTAACAGTTAACGAGAAGAGTACAATTTTTCTAGTTGTAAACTATTTAACAAGCGCGCGGATTTACAACGCTAGAATCCGGGTTTCGATACCCGTGGTGGGCAGAGCACAGCCCCCCCCCAGAGGCACAGCGGCATGTCTGCGGACTTACAACGCTAGAAACCGGGTTTCGATACCCGTGGTGGGCAGAGCACAGCCCCCCCAGAGGCACAGCGGCATGTCTGCGGATTTACAACGCTAGAATCCGGGTTTCGATACCCGTGGTGGTCAGAACACAGCCCCCCCAGAGGCACAGCGGCATGTCTGCGGATTTACAACGCTAGAATCCGGGTTTCGATACCCGTGGTGGTCAGAACACAGCCCCCCCAGAGGCACAGCGGCATGTCTGCGG